TCTGAGTTTTTCCTTTATCCATGGTTTGTTGGTTTTGGTTGCCAATGGGGGTCTTAAGAATGATTTAAACCACCAGTACTTGGGCGACGCCTTAGCGTTAACGCTACGCGATTTCCGCGGCCGGCGGGCCGCCGATAAATCGAATCGACAGCCCGCGCTGCTTAGAGATTTGGGCGGGCGGCGCGGCGCGCAGTGCCCAAGTACTGGTGGTTTAAGATTCTGGGGACTTCTAGCAACTCATCTTAGATGGCTCCATTGCTGATATACTCAGTGATCTGCGGCCGTTCGATGCCAGAACGACGCTGGCCAGTGCTGGGGTGTTGCCCTGTAACCTGCTGATGCAGGAGTGGGAGGCCTGGTAGAGAGATCCGGGGATGCTTTGGGGTGGGCATTCCAAGGGACAACCAAGGGTTGCTGGTGGGACGACGCTGGCCGGAGCTGGGGCGAGTCGTGTTGCCCTGTAACCCAGCAGGGTAGGGGTGTGAGGCCTGGAAGAGCTCGGCAGGGAGTAAGACAGTGCTGGAGAGCTTTAGAAGGGTTGCTAGGGATCCACAGGGTTTTGAGCATTTGTAGGACCGCTGTGGTGGCATGTTTTGTTGTGGGCAGACCTTTTTTTCTTTAGTTTGTCGTAGTAATTTTCTAAGTAGCTCAAAATTCTCTCAAAGTTCTCTCAGTCAAAGCCGGTTAATGGCCCCGGTATCTCAAACTTTCAAAATTCGATGTAAATTTCCATATGGGACGCTGGGCCCGGTTCCCAGCACGTTAAAAAAGAAAAGAAAAGAAAAAAAGTCCCTCCTCGAGATTAAAGCCTCGCGTGATGTGCAAATTTTGATCACTCTGGTTACTTCTTGACAGTTTTTGTGCACATTATGTCCTCATTGTCCTGCCCGAGATTTAGGCCTCGGATGATGTGTAAATACTAAATACTAAATTTTGTTGTACATGAAGTATGTATGAAGTATGCACCACTTTTTGTTTTGTTTTGTTTTCAATCAAGAAAGTAGTCCCCCCAACTTCCCCATCTATTTGGGGGCCATCAGTTCAGTGTTGCTTCATTTGCCAGTCAAAATAAAGAAGAGCCTTTTGAAAAACAGCATGACAAGCAAACTGTTGGAGGGTATGAAAGGTAGTTTTTAAGTCCACAGCCAGGGAAGCAAGTAAGGGAGGCTTGGGCCTCATACATCCCGCCATAGAACATAAAGCACTACAGATTAAAGTGGATTTTCAGATTATTGTTTCAAACAAGGAGCTCCCCTGGGACGGCATGGCCCTATACCAAATTCACAACTTAGCGCCTTTTAACTGAAGTTGATTCACAAATAGAAGGGTACCACTGGCTAATGAACAAATATTGGTCCCGGAAAACTGAAAACAACAGAAGAAGGGATCAACGGCAAGTCACCAAAGAACCACCTAGCAGACATTGGGCAACACTAATCAACATCTGGAGAGAGGCCTTCCCCAAGGGAATCAGCAACCCAAAAGCTAAGGAGGGAAGTCCTTAGACAGCCCCTGTTTGGCAGCGCACTGCTATTGGACCCCAACGAAAAGTGGACACTAGAAGAGAACAGAAAGTATGGAAAGTGCTAGGTCCAGAATTGGTCGCAGGCTAGTTTAGTCGAAGAACCTGGCTGTGTAAGGCCTACGGAGAATGCTCCTGACTGCCTGGATGCAAAACCCGCTTCCCCCCTCAATCAAGGGAATATTGATCTCATGCTGATAGATGGTGAGGGCTTACTGAGGTCATGTACTTGATGGAGCTACCGTCTTCACCCGAATAGAACGCCAGGTCGTTATAGCTGTACCTGGACTGCGAATTGCACCAAATATGGCTATAATGATCGGGCGTTCTATTCCGGTGAAGACGGTAGTGTGCGACACATGCCTGGGTGGTGTTGTGTGTGTGTGGTGTAAGGTGAGGACACTACATCCATGCAGGGGTGGGGTTGATATCACGCCGGTATGGTTCCACTTTTGCACACTGTGTCATGGCCGTAGTGGTGCAGAAACTTAGCTCTTGAGGCTGAGGGCGCCGGTTCAAATCCGTGCGTGCACGGACGAGGTCCAAGGCTGGAAATGGTACTAACTGTACACAATCCCGGTAGCCAGCCTGGAAATCATAGCAGGAATGTGGTGGCCGTTGGGGGTTGGCCCCCCTAATGTGAAGTTGTGGATATTGTGGATGGGACTGTGTGCCCTTGTGGTTTGAGGTCAAGTGGTTGGTGGAGCTAGCGTGCGACATGCGCCCCGGTGGTGTTGCGTGTGTGTGTGTGTGGTGTAAGGTAAGGACACCTCAGCCATGCAGGGGTGGGGTGGATATCACGATGGTATGGTTCCTGTTATGGACAACGTGCCATGGCTGTAGTGTTTAAGAAACTTGGCTCTTGAGGCCGAGGGCGTCGGTTTGAATCCGTGCATGCATGGAGGAAGTCCAAGGCTGGAAATAGTACTGACTTAAGTGTTGTAACCGATGCATCATGAGATAATTGACTGGGAGAAATGAACATGCCAAGCATCTATTACCCAATCCTAGGGTCCTACAGGGGATGCATGGGGCCACATATTGTTTGAGAGCCTCTCCTGATTGGACTTGGTGCCGTGCACCTACAGCTTATATTCTGTTCTGCCAGCTCCTGATAAGCCAATTATGCTGCCAACCATCGATAGAGAAAGAGAAAATTTGCTAATCATACTGATCCTATAGAACTTTTGTTAGGGGTCGAGGAAGAAAAATCATTCCAAGCCCACAGAAAGGCACATACACATATGCACACACACACAGAGGGCAGGAGGACAGCATGCATGCAAAGTGGTCGAGGAGGGAGCACTACAGAGGAGAAAGGGGGGGAGATCCAGGGGCTGTCCATAATCGAACCGCGGCGTGGGGGATGTAGCCTCTCTCCATGCAACGTCCGATCAGACACAAGGAGGGGAGGAGAGGGAAGGAGTTTGAAGGAGGAAGAAGGATGGAGTGCGAGAGCGACGTAGAGGGAGGAAGTTGAGAAGATTGTGGAAAAGACAAAATGTGGGGGGAGGGAGGGGCAAGGGAGGGTTAAAAGCGATGCA